TATACAAACTTTGAATGCAAACCAATGTAAAATAAAAAAATTAAGATAATAATTTTAAAAAGAGAAAGGAATTGTATGACAAAGAAAGGGTCAATCAAATAAGATATAATCATAACTATCATTTAATGAAACCCTGCTCAGTTCTCCCCCACAATCTCTGCTGTGCTTATGCTCATTGTCACAGTCACGTACCAATCCAACTCATGAGGGCCATTTTCCTTTTTTTGCTGACTCTTGTTTTCAAGGATGTTATCTTCTTCTATCAGAAGACAATCTAGATGATTAGGACTTCCTTGCTCAGCATTTCTTAAGCTCAAGGAACTGAAGAACAAATTCAAACTTCGAGGTGCTATAATCAAGGATGCTTTAGGCAGAGTACTAAATGATCCAGAAGATGGAAAGAATATACTTAGTCATTTTATCGAAAGGAATTGTCAGACACAGAAGAATTTCATGAAACAACATATGAGCAAGAGCCTATGGTAATGAAGGAAGAAGTTTAAGCTGCTTTGAAAGAAATAGCAAAAAATAAGGCCCCAGGAATAGATGGTATACAAATTGACATATTTCAGTTAACAGATGCTTCCCTGGACGTGCTCACCAAGTTGTGCCAAGAAATCTGGAGAACAACCACTTGGCCAACTGACTGGAAGAGATCTACATTTGTTCCCATTCCAAAGAAAGGTGACCCAACAGAGTGCGGAAACTACAGAACAATATCGTTGATTTCACATGCAAGCAAGATTCTGCTGAAGAATCCAAAAACGACTGGAACAGCACATTACACATTAGCAGAGATCTGCCAGAAGTCAAGGCTGGGTTTAGAAGGGGTCGTGGTACTGGGGATATTGTAGCTAATGTCAGATGGATATTGGCTGAAAGCAGGTAGTACCAGAGGAATGTATATCTGTGCTTCACTGATTATGCAAAGGTGTTTGACTGTGTGGACCATAACAAACTGTGGCTGACTCTGAGAAGAATAGGAATTCCAGAACACTTGATCATGGTAATGCGAAACTTATACTTGGACCAAGAGGCAGTCGTCAGAACACAGCAAAGAAACACTGCATGGTTCAAAACTGGAAAGGGTATACGCCAGGGATGTGTCCTGTCTCCATATCTTTTCAATCTGTATGCAGAACAGATTATCCGGGAGGCTGGGCTCTATGAGAAATGTGGCATCAGGATTGGTGGAAGATCTATCAACAATCTGCATTATGCAGATGACACAACCCTGCTTGCTGAAACTGAAGGGGACCTGAAGTGCTTGCTGCAGAGGGTCAAGGACTGCAGCCTTCAGTATGGATTGAGGCTCAATGTCAAGAAGACAAAGATTCTCACCACTGGACCAAATGGCAGCATCAGAATGGATGGTGAAGAGATTGAGATTGTTCACAGCTTTAGTTTGCTTGGCTCCACAATCAACACTCTTGGCACCAGCAGCCAGGAAATTAAAAGACGTATTGCGATGGGAAAATCTGCTGTTAAGGACATCTCTAAAGTACTCAAGAGCAACGGTGTTTCTCTGGAGACTAAGGTGTGTCTGGTACGGGCCATGGTCTTTGCAATTACTTGTTATGCATTAGAGAGCTGGACAATGACCAGGGCGGACAGAAGGAGAAATGATGCTTTTGAGCTTTGGTGTTGGAGAAGAGTGCTGAGGGTGCCATGGACTGCTAAGAAAACAAACAGGTTCATCCTGGAGAGGGTTAAACCTGGCTGCTTCTTGGAGGCAAGGATTCTAAGGCTTCATCTGACATACTTTGGTCATGTTGTAAGGAGAGACTGGTCCTTGGAGAAGGACATCATGCTTGGGAGGGTGGAAGGCAGGCGCAGGAGGGGAAGACCCTCTGGGAGATGGATTGATTTGGTGACTGGGACAATCGGGATAAGTGTGTCAGAGACAATGAGATTGACACAGGACAGAGCAGAGTTTAGAGCTGTTGTACATAGGGTCGCAATGAGTTGCAAGCAACTCAACGGCACATAACAACAACAAAGTTCATCAAGACCACAAAGAGAACTCAGGCTAGGAGGAAACTGGCAATAACATATAGAAGAAGGATCTCTTTTATGGCATTTACAGAAAACTTTAACAACAAAAAGACAAATAATCAAATTAGGAAACTGGAAAAGGATATGAACAGACACTTTACCAAATAAGAAAATGAATTGGCCAGTAAACATGAAGAAATGCTCATAATTATTAGAGACCCAAAACAAAGAAATGTCATTTTATGCTATCAATAATAACAAAGTTTAATTTTTTCTAAAAAACATCCATACACTGCTGGTGGGGCTATAAAAAGGTGGAGTAACTCTGGCAACTGTATGGCATTTCCTAAAACTTTAGAAATACCATATGATGCAGCAACTCATTCCTAGGATTGTATTTTACAGAAATAAGTTGTTGTTGTTGTTGATTGCCATCTAGTTGAGTATGAATCATAGCGACTCTATGAACAAAAGGCCTGAAGCCTTTCTATAACTATCGTCATCTATCAAAGTTCATAGAGTTTCCAGAGGTATGTTGTTTAGGAAGTGGATGCCACTAAGAGCCACAACATTTATAGATATATACCCACTCATTTTCATTATAAACAGCTTTGTGTTCAGTGATTTGACTTCATCAACTCCCTTCCCATTGTGATTTACAACTTCAGAGACCTGATGGACTGACTCATCAGGAAACCTGTGAGTGAGAACAAATTTGACAGCAGGAGTAAGGAATAAGAAACAAGCTTGACAGAAGAATATATCCATTCATACAGCAGAGAATATAGGCAACAAAGTTACAAAAACTTAGCCAGACATTTTGACAGAATGATCTGAGCACTGAGGACCATAGTCCGAGGGGCTATCAGGGTCAGTTTGCATAACATTTGAAAATGTTTTATACCTATTCTTGGTGAGCAGTGACTAGAGTCTTAAAGGCTTGTAAGTAAACAATCTAAGGTGCAACTACTGGTCCCTCCTTATTAAAACAAAGAAAAATGAAGACAATCAAAGGTATATGGAAACAATTAGACCAAAAGACGAAGGACCATGTGAACTTCCATTACCATGACCCAGAGACCAAAATTAGATGGTGTCATACTACCACTGCTGACCACACTGAATGGGACCACATAGAAGGTGAGGATCGAGCAGGGGAGAAATGAATAAAAAAACTCAAAAGTCACAAAAATCACCAGAAACTATGGCAAGAGCATTGAGACTATGGTTCTCAGCCATTCTGCTTATAAATACCTGAACTCACTCTTGTGGCACAATTTACAGGCAAAATTTATAAAATATATAAATAAATTTATATATTTTTATATAATAAATTGCATTTTGTTTATGAAGCGAGATATAACATTAGGGGCATAGGCATTCTTTAGCAACCACTCAAGACCAAAGGGAAAGAATTTGTCCCAAGATAAAGTTCAGAAGCTAAGAATAGGTAAGAAGGAGAGAGGAGTGGACATAGGAATGGGACTGAATTCAACAGCACAAAAGAACATGAGTACAATCTATTGAATGAAAACTGATGTGTGCTATAAATCTTTACTATTTATCATTTTAAAAAAAACAAATAGTAGTTCATTGTTAAAAACAAACAACATGCCCCACTATAGCACAGTGTTCAAATAATAAAGCAAATACTAGTCTTATTTTTCTTCCTATGGCTACAGCACATGCTATTCGAACATTAATGTACCTCTCCTCTTTCAGCTTTCTTGGATAATGTTAGTAGTTTTGACTAGGAACAGTGACAATAAATTTAGAAAGTCTGAATATAATCCAAGAATTCCCATACAAAATAGTTAAAACCCCAAATTTATAGCACAAAAAAACTAAGTCAATAGGTTTCTAGCTTTGTTGTTGTTGTTGCATGCTGCTCAAGTAAAATTCGACTCCTAACGGGGGTCCTAGTCAGTTTTTAAAGGCTGTAAACAGCACAGTAGGAGACTGCCCATTTATACACTCTCCATTATGCTTCTAGTTTTGAGATATAAAAAGATATATTGCTTTGTTTTCAAATGTAACATTTAAAGAAATCATTATTAAATTGGAAGATGAAAAAAATTCTAAATGTTCTCAAACTTTAAGAAAGTCAGTTGTAAGCTTATCTGTCATAAGAAGAATGATAGTAACTACCCTTAATCTTAGCCAAAAGGTCAAGAAGTGATAGAATGCTAGTAGCTAAATGAGTGCTTAATTTGATTACTTACACAAATTATCTATTGATGAATAAGGTGTACAAATGTACAAATATATAACATAGCAATTAAATTTCTTAGTGAAGAGAGTCTTTTAAAATAGCATTCAAAATATTCTCCTCAGCTTGCTTCCCTCAAATCTGTTATGTGCTTTTTCTTCTCCCTCTTCTAGAGCTCTGGTGGCCCTAGTAGTAAGGAATCACACTGCTGATCCAAAGGCATATGGTTGAATTCACCAGCTACTCTATGAGAGAAAGACAGACAATCAATGCTCCTGTTTGATTAACTGCCTCTGAAAACCCGCTGGAGGGACAGCTATGGGTCGGTTCTGACTTGATGGTGCACAAAACAAACAACAACCTTCCTCTATGCAATTTACTGCCTCTGAAAACCCACTAGAGGGTCAGCTATGGGTCAGTTCCGACTCGACGGTATGTAACAACAACTTGGTATATAAAACTACAACAACTAACAGTGTGAGTTTTTAGACTCTGTTCTAAATAAAATTGAAAGTAGGCCTGATTGGATCATTGGCATTTCTGTTTCAACTCATAGTGTTACATAATTTTAAAACATATAAAAAATTAACAAATACACCTATTCTCTGACAACAGAATATATAAAGAGTTACTCTGCATCAACAGATTCCCAGTGATACATACTATTTCCATTCAAGTCAATCTGTGAAATTTCTAAATTGTTTTTTAAAAAAGCCAAGTATGCTGACTCTGTTTTTGTACCTTGGTGCCCTGAGTCACAGGGAAGGCTTTTCTTTATAATTAGAAGGTCCCTTACATTCACTAGGTGGTGATGAGGATGTTCAAAATCCACACGTGCCTGGGATAGGGAGTTAGTAAGCCCAGAGGAAAGGCCTGGGTTTATGCTCCCACTCATGAGTCCACTGACCCCAGCAGAAACCTTATGGTGAAGATGTGAGCAGCCACTATGGAGACTTCCATTCCTCATGAAACTCCCATGGACATTTCCGTTAATCCTGGTTGTGCCAGGCAGAGTGGTGTATTCCATTATCTGTCCATTAATATCTGCTCTTTGGTAGAGATAGCTTGGTGGGTCATATTCTAGTGGAGGGAAAAAAAAAAGGATAAGATACTTCATCAGGAAGGTTTGGGGTTTGTTTTTGTTTTTTTTTTTAAAATTAATGAATCCTCTAAGAAATGAATGCCTCAAAATAAAGCATTCTAAAAATTTTTACTTCAAGTTTACATTTAAGTGACAGGCTTTAATAAAAGAAAAAGCCCAAAAGAGAATCAATTCATTATATGAGCTGAAACTATCCAAGTACAGATAACACTAAGAAACAGTGTTCAAAGTTTTATACACTTCCAGATGCTGAAAATTTGTTGCATGAAGCAACAATGGCAAAGATTAATCTTAGGTAGGATACTTTACACAGCACCAAATGAGGGAGCTGTGCTTCATAATTTCTTGGTCTTTATTGCTAAATTAGAAGTTATGGAGTACCAAATGCTAACTACTGCATTTCCTTAAATTAAAGACATTTAAATTCTGTCTCAAATTTTTATTTCCAGGGACATAATTAAAGCTATATTTGAAATAAGTAAAATATCCCTTAGATAGTATAATATTTCTTATATATTCTGATAATTTCCTCAAATATTAGCAAGCTGGCCAAAGCTAACTAGTCAAACTTGTTCTCCATGTGTCTCTATCACTTCTCACAGAGGTGTGCTGGCTCCCTAGACCTGCTTCTCTACATCACTGGACTCTCAGAAGGCAGAACCCATACATGTTTTACTTCTTATTCTATCTCCGTTACCCAGCATAGTGCTGGGCATGCAGAAGATAACTGGTAAATACCTTTTGAATAAGTAACTGAATGAATACTATAATAATTTTTCATTTTTATATTATCAGATCACAAAACAAAATAACCATAATCATAGGAACCTTTGTCAGAGAATCAAACTATTTTTAATCATTTAGCACACACACAATTAAAAGCAATAGCATTGGAACTATTTATCAAAGGGCCCACATGGCCACTAACTCTCAGCCCAACACTACCAGCACTCTGTCCCTGACAACCTGGTAGAGAAGTGTGGGGTATGCCTTTAACTGCTAATACATTCCTTTGGTTTTCTTGCATTCCCTTATTTTGTCGTGAAGGGGGGGCAGGGAATCCTGCCCACCAAAGACTATGTGATTTGATCATCTTGTTTTGCAACAGCTGAGAAAAGAAACAAGGTGGCAGGTGAGGGGAAAGAACTAGAAAATATAAGCAGGAATGGGGGGTTAAGTGAGAAAAGGGAAGGGGGCTCTAGGTTCTATGTTTAAAAGAAGGTTATCTCCAATATTTCAAGCACACCCTATTACTATATACACTGAGGGGGCTATCAGGTAGAGAAATAGGACTGTATGTGTCTTCATCTGTGATTATCACTCAATGACAATGACTTGGAAGTCTTCCTTGCCATTGTGCTTTTCTGTATCATTTTTACACTCAACACTAGAATAAAGAAGTTTCTGCTGTGACTGCAAAACCCATGCTCAAGTACTCATCCTCTTTGGTGGTCCAAGAAAGCCAGGATTTCCCAACATTAAGTCAGCTTAATGTAGAGAACGGCTTAGTTTTAACTTTTTGGTTTATTTCTATTTGGCAATTTAATTTGATGCTCTACTTACTTTGGCTTACCACTGAACAAATTTTAAAGTCACCCACTCTGAATAAGACCTTCCAACATGTTATAAAACATTGCATTAAAAAATTAAAGTGTTAGAAGTATTCTGACAATATTTTTCACCATTCTTAAAAAAGCAAAGGAAATAGTTATGAATTACTTACTCTGTATGGTATTCTGTTGGTGGTTCTTCCATAGGCACATTGCAATGAAAACCATAAGAATTAGGACCATGACACCTAGCACACAGCCAACAATCAAATATAACATATCACTGCTCCTGGTGGTGCTTGTTGCAGGCCCAAAATTTCCTCCACTTCCTGAGAAATTTGGAGGGGTACTCAAGTCTTTGATGGGGTACTCAGATGCTCCAGGAATATGTTTCACTAGATAAAATATAAAGGAAACCAGGGGATCAGAGTACAGTCTCTATGAAATGGTTTAATCTCTGAAGGAGGTCTGGTAGGAGCACAAAACACTCTGTTTATACATGTTACTGAAATTATCTGACCAACTATGAGTTAGAGAGAGAGAGAGATATGACAACTTTAAAAATATGAGATGCCAAAGTTTTAGATCTTGAACAGATCTAGCCCACAAATTTTAGAAAACTAATAAGAGGTTGAAAGGCTCCTCCATTTTGGGATCCCTGACACTGTAGGGCCATCCCAGGGATCAGAGGACAACATAGTTTGGGACAAGGAGCTACAAGCAGGGTAGAGACATACTTTCATGGTTGGCATGCTAAAGTGCCAGAAAAAAAACTAACTTCAAAGCCCCCTGGACAGAAACAGCTTAAGTGGAGCACCAGGTCTCACACCACTCTGTTACTCTGCAGGCAAGGAGGGCAGCAGAGTTTTGGAGATAAAACTACATTTAGGTGATATTTCTGCAGGACTACATTACAGAGCAGTGAGAATCTGAAGAACTTTTGAAAAGGCAAACTTTCCCATAAAGGACTTCCAATAGAGTGAATGGCCCACTCCATAGACTAAACTTATTGAGCTGGCATCTAATAAATAAAATCATAAAGACAAGAACTATCAACAATAAAAATGGCCTAACACAAGAAGAACTTCATATAATGTCAAGAAAGCACTGAGCAGCTTCAATATTCTGAAAAAATAAATTAGGTCTTCTCCAAAAACGGAAGAGCATACTGTAGATCTGATGAAAACCCCAGCGTTGGGGGTGGGGGGTGGGCCCAGAAGATATATATTGATATGGTGTCATTCAAACAGCTACAGAAGAAGGTACAAATTATGGAAGAAATAAAGTGAATACTCCAGAGGTAAAGAACCATAAGAAATAGGAAAAGGAATGGAGTTGTACAAAATAAATTTTATGTATAAAATAAACTAAAAAAAAAATACTAATGTGGATTTATTTGAAAAGCTATAGAAAAAGGTGCAAATGATGGAAGAAACAATGGAAGGCATTAATAAAGCAAATAACCCAGAGACAAAGGAAATACACCAGCACAGAGAAATTTGAACAACTATGAAAGAAAATGGAAAATATGGAAGAAAGAATTTAAATTATAGATAAGGTGGCATAACAACTTAAAAAAATCATCAGAAGACAGAGAGAGTACAGTCAACACAGTATTGTAAATGACAGAAATGCATCAAAATGTAATCCATAATATTAAAACTGAAATAGCACAATTGTCCAATGTGCTGGAAGAACAAAAGAAGAATAAAAGAGATGAAGCATAGAGTTAGTGAGCTGGAAGACAAGAGCATCAATGGACATGTAAGAAGAAAAATCAGAGATGAGACATAAAATAAAGAAAATATTAGAATCATGTTGGGCAACATTAAAAGAAATAACATACGTATGACTGGAATTCCAGAACATGAGAGGGAGAGGGAAATCACTGAGAAAACTAAAGAAGAGGTTCTAGAAGAAAATTCCTCAGGTACTATGAAGAACAGAGACATCTACATTCAAGAATCTCAGCAAACACCAAATAAACTAGACAAAAAAAAGAAAGAAAGAAAACCATCAAGACACATCATAGCTAACCTACAAAGGAAAAAAGGAAAAACAAGTATGTTCAGATTTCTAATCAGGAACCATGTGAGCAAGAAGACAATGGGAGGGCACATAGAGAAAGGTGAAAGAAAACAATTGTTAGCTGAGGATCCGTACTCAGCAAAGTTCTCCATCAAATATGAAGGAGAATTTTCAGAAAATCAGGAACTTAAGGAATTTGTGAAAACAAGACCAACTCTATAAGAATTTCATGCGAAGTCATTCCCATGAGAGACACAAAAGGAAAGTGGATGGATCATAGTAACCAGAAACAACAGAAAAAGAAACAGCAAAATGGCAGTGTAGCCTGTCAATAATCACACCTAATGTGAATGGACTAAATACACCAAAACCCAAAAACAAGTAACATAAAGGATAAAAAACAAACAAACCAAAAAACCCAACACCACCACATCAATAATCTGTCTATAAGAAACACAACTAAGAAAGGAGGAGAAAGATAGACTAAAAAAAAAAAAAAATCAAAGGCTGGAAAAAAATTATACCAAAGCAAATGCCACCCACAAAAGAGCAGGAATGTCAGTCTCTGATAAAATAATCTTCAGGATGAAATCCACCATAAAAGATAAGGAAGGGTACTGTATAATGATTAAGGCACAAAAGATACAGAAGACAACCTTGGTCGACATCTATGTACCAAATGATACACCAGCTAAATACATAAAATAATGGTTAACAAAATTGAAGAAATAAATAGAGAGTAACACAATAGTGGTAGGAGACTTTAACACACCATTCTCACCAAATGGGAGGTCAATTTAAAAGTAACTTCACAAAGATATAAAAGACCTAAACTATACAATCAACAAACTCAACCTTGTAGATGTAATTCAGGGTACTACACTCAACTAAAAGCCAATTTACTTTCTTCTCAAGTGTACAAGGCACATTTTCCAGAAGTGATTATACATTAGGACACAAAGTAAGCCTCAACAGACCCAAAATGACTGAAATCATACAAAGTATCTTCTCAGACCACAATGCCATAAAACTAGAAATTAACAACAAGAGGATAAAGCTTATAAAACCATCATGTGGAAGCTAAATAACATTCTGTTAGAACATGATGAAATTGAAGAAATAAATAATGAAATTAAAAAGTTCCTTGAAACAAATGAAAATACAACATACCAAAACCTCTGGGATGCAGCTAAGGCAGCCCCAATGGGCAATTAATACCACCAGGGAAATAATAAAAAGCAGAAAAACCCACAAAATTAATATTCTAACTCCACACATCCATGAAATAGAGAAAGAACAACAATAAATCCCACCATCTCTAGAAGAAAGGAAATTAAATTATAAGGACAAGAGCTGAAATCAGTGAGTAAGAGAAAAGAACAACAATTGAAACCATCAACAAGGTGGTTTCTTGAAAGGGTCAATAAAACTGACAAACATTCACAAACTTAATAAAAAATGAAAAAGAAGATACAAATAACTCAGTTAATTAATGATAGAGGTGACATCACATGGAACTAGGTGAAATAACATCTATAATATTAGAATATTATGAAAAACTATGCTCTGATAAAATTGAAAACCTAGAAGAAATGGACAAATTCCTAGAAATTCATTCTCAACCCAGATTGACAATGATAGATGTAGAAAAAATGAACAGAACCATCACAAAAGAAGAAATTGAGCATGTCATAAAAAGACTCCATGTATGAGCAAAAGCCTGTGGTGATGAAGTAAGAAGTTCAAGCTTCTCTGAAGGAATTGGTAAAAAAATAAGGCCTCAGGAATTGGCATACCAATTGACATATTTCAATAAATAGATGCTGCCCTGGACACTCTCACCAAGTTGTCTCAAGAAATCTGGAGGACAATCACTTTCACCAACCGACTGGAAGAAATCCAATATTTGTTCCCATTCCAAAGAAAGGTGACCCAAAAGAGTGTGGAAATTATCAAACTAGATCGCTAATATCACATGCAAGTAAGATTCTGCTGAAATTGTCCAAAACAACTGGAACAGCACATCAACAGAGAACTGCCAGATGAGCAGGCTAGGTTTAGTAGAGGTCATGGTACTAGGGATGTTATAGCTAATGCTAGATGGATCTTGGCTGAAAACAGAGAGCACAGGAGGAGTATCTATCTACGTTTCATTAACTATGCAAAGGCATTTGACTCTGTGGATCACAACAAACTGTGGCTAACTCTGAGAGGAATGGGAATCCCAAAACACTTGATTGTGCTTATGTGAAACATATACTTGGACCAGGAGGCAGTCATGAGAACAGAGCAAGGAAATACATGGTTTACAATTAGGAGGGGTATAAGTCAGGGATGTGTCCTGTCTCTATACCTTTTCAATCTATATGAAGAACAGATCATGAAGGAGGCTGGGCTTTCTGAGGAGGAGTGTGGCATCAGGATTGGAGGAAGATTCATCATCAACCTGAATTTATGCAGATGACACAACCTTGCTTGATGAAACTGAGAAGGACCTGAAGCATTTGCTGCAGAAGGTCAAGGACTGCAGCCTTAAATACGGATTGAAATTCAACATCAAGAAAACAAAGATTCTCACTACTGGGCTGATTGGCAGGATCATGATAATTGAAGAGATTGGGATTGTTAATAGCTTTAGCTTGCTTGGCCCCACAACCAACACTCTTGGTACCATAAGCGAGGAAATAAAAAAAAAAACCCCAAACCAACAAAAACCATGAAGAGCAATGATGCCAATCTGGAGACTGGGGTGACCCTGATCCAGGCTACAGTGTTCCAAATTATGTACTATGCTTCAGAAAACTGAACAATGACTAGGGATGATAGAAGGAGAAGTGATGTCTTTGAGCTGTAGTGTAGGAGAAGAGTATTGTATATAACAAATACTGCTGGGAGAACAAACAATTTTGTCCTGGAGAGGGTGAAACCAGGCTGCCCCTTACAGAAAAGGATTATGAAGATCTGTCTGACATGCTTTTGGGCATGTTGCAAAGAGGGACCAGTCCTTCAAAAGGGATATCATGCTTGGGAGGGTGGAGGGACAGCGAAAGAAAGGAAGACCCTCAATGAGATGGATTAACTCAGTGACTGGGGTAATGAGGGTAGCTGTGTCAGAGACAATAAGGTTGGCTCAGGATAGAGCAGGGTTCAGAGCTGTTGTACATAGAGTTGCTATGAGTTGCAGGCAACTTGACGACACATAACAACAACAACAACAACAACCACCACCACAAAAAGTCCTGTACCAGATGGCTTCACGGCTGAATTTTACCAAACATTCAGGGATGATCTATAACCAATTCTAATTAAATTCTTTAAAAAAAAAAATAGAAAAAGGGGGAACAATCCCAGAGTTATTCTCTGAAGC